GCAGGATGCCCAACCTCGCGAGGCAGACGCGAGCAGTGTACATAGCCTGCCAGAGGTCCAGGTATCCGACTACACCAACTCGAGTGAACCCATGACTTCACGTAGCGCGAGCTCGTCGTACCCTGCACCGCCATCAGCGGGTCTAACAGCGACCGCCACGTCTTCGCTGGATCGAAGAAACCGCCATCGGTCGACCATGGATGTGAGTAACGAGTACAGGGATGCTATGAACCAGCGCTGACGGTTGCAGACCCGTGCATCAAACCGTATATCGGGCTTCTTTTCCAACCTCATCCATCGACGAGACTACCCACCACAACCAGCACCCCACGAGACGATGGCTTCATCGCCAACGACGACGAAAGAATCGTCTCGGGCATCGTCCCCCATGCCATCACGTCCCTCCACCCCACCCCCATCTCTACCTGCTCCTTCCTTAAGTGATCTAGGACTCTCGCTTTCATCGGTAACAGGCCCCCTCTCACCATCACACTTCAGCTCTCCTCCATGTAGCGGTGCATTTCTTCAACCGCACTTCCTGCTGCTATGTCATGCGCAAGGCCTTGACGTTCTACCCTTGAATTCACCACCTGTACCGCAGCCGTATTCTTTGATACGCCGCGTACCTTTCAAGAGTGTCGTGGTGATGGAGCATCGCGGGGTTCTAGTTGCCATCGCTGGCAGACGAGACGGCGTCCGAGTGTATGCACTGGAAGAGGTTAAGCGAGCAGTTGAGTGGAGAATCGAGATGGAGGTCAAGCGGGAGCGTGAAAAGTCTCGCCGAGAAGAAATCAAGAGGGCTCTTATCGCAAATTATGAAGGCCGTGACAAGAACCACGGCGTTCGCAAGGACCCGGCTCGAGGATTGCCCCAGCTCCCGTCGAGTTCGAAGTCGAAGCCGGATCGACGAGCCACTATGTCTGTCAGCTCCCAATCGGACATATCACGGCACGCTACCGTTAAACGACCCAAAACGCCTCCAGTTCCTGTACCATCAGGTCCGCCTCCAGCGTACAGTGGTCCCACGAGCACGAGATCAAGAAGTAACTCAACTGTCCCGATCAACCCTAATATGAACCGAGCTCGCACAATGTCAGTCAACGACGTTCTTGCTGGCACCGCCAACCGGACTCCGCATCCTAACGGGGACGTGAATTCGCATCATCCCGATGCTAAGTCTGATTGGGCGTCCAGTGACGAAGAAGCCATTGACCCTGTTGCTGCTCCCAGCGGTAGCCAAGCTTTGGACGAGAGGACAAGCGCGATTTCCACTGTCAACAGTGCGCAGACGGTGAACCCCGCCGCTGTGGGTGCTAGATTGGAGGTGCCACGGTCACATACGGGCCCCACGCAAACTCGACGGAGACCGGCCAATCTAGATCTTAGCTTGACTCGTGCCAGCCCTCCCAGCAACGCTGTCGCGACTGTGGCACCGCCATCGCCGACACCGACGTTGCAGACTCTGCGCCAGACTCTGATGAGTTCGCCAGGGAGCACAGGCACTGCCCCGACGAGGCGGCCCATGGGCCCTCATGGTGCAGGTGCCCCTGTCAACTTTGCGGTCGCGGTGGACGAGGACGAAGGTGAACCCGCACCGTCTTCGCCTACTACACCGACCCAGGAGCGCATCAGCTTGGCCGAGGCGCTGATGGAAAGTCGGCTGCCAAACGTTGCTCCGCCTGGTACGAGGCAGGAACAAGAAGCGGTTATGCTCAATAATGTTGCCAGCGGCGACGAGGATGTTCTTGGTAGCCCACGGACGTCGGAATCATTCTCTATCAATACCAGGCGCAGCACGGGTGATGCATCCACTCGACGGCGGAGGAGATGGTCCGTGTTTGACGGATTCTTCCAGCCGGCATCCCCGCAATCGTCTCAGACCGGCATCCCGTTCGCATTGGAGAACAGTCCACCGCCCCCTGCACCTCCTCCGGAGACTCGAGAGCGTCAGCCCAGCGCATTGACGCGGTCCCAGTCCACACGTGCGCTAACTACGACGTCGCAACCCGCGTCTGATAACGACCTTCCCCGGCCGTCTACCGCTCCCGGGCGTGACGGGAGCGTGTATTCCCTGCCTGCGCCATCGCTGGGTATACCGCCAGCTGCCAGCTACTCCCAGCCATCTTCGGCGCCCGCCTCTCGGTTCCTGCCCCGAATAATCACGAATGCATTTCATGGTAGGCGTTCTGACGATAGACCAGGCTCGCCTAGGGCTATGGAAAACGACGGCCGGAAGAGCATGAATACTCCTATAACTGTGCCTGCCCCTGCGCCGAAACTGGAGTATGTCAAACTCCCCGGCACCAAGGGTTCGGTCATGATCAAGGCCGTTGAGACAGCTAAGAAGAGGTAATACTCATTGTCTATGACATATGCAGTATGCTGATCTTTTGATAGCTTCCTTGCTATCCTCTGCGGTGACAATGGGGAGAAAGTTGAGCTCTTCGCCGGTACTTACCGCACCGCTCTTGGTCTGTCCCGAACGTTCATTCTGCCCGACTCACCACGATCTCTGGAACTTCAACTCCAGGGTGATGACCTTGTAGAGGTCTTCCTTGTGTTCTCGCAAAACGTCTTCGGTCTCGAGCCAGCTACCGTTCGCGTTCGAGAAGTGAGGATTGGACGAGCAGAGCGCAGGGCGGCGCGGAGACGATTGCGAGGAACACAGCAGGTTGCGGAGGCTGCTGACGCTGAAAACACCCCCGGTGAAGAGGACACTGCGGTCAACGTGACAATTGGCGTTTCCGTAACTGCAGCATCGCCTACCCCGAATGGCAGTGGTGACAACACGGAACTGACTCCATTGTCAAGCCCAATGCCTGGTACCATGCATCCTGCGGATACCCAGGCTGCTACTTCGGCGGCAGAGAGCGGGAGCGTAGCAATGTCGTCCATCAATGCCGATGAGTTGGCCACGTTGGCGGCGGCTCATACGAGCCCTTACACAACATTCCAGCAGCTCACCTTTGCGCCTAACTTCCCTTTGGCAACCATTGCTGATGAGTACATTATCCCCCCGACATACTCGTCCTTCCTCGACTACAGGAAAAACCATGAGCCGGAGTCGGAGGACCAGGACCTCACGCAGGTGCAATTCACTCCTCCGGGGCTCCCCGCTCCCATTGTTATGCCCCCATCACAGTGGTACTACAGAGACCCGAAAGGTGTCATGCACGGTGAGTCTTCCGACTGAGGTGACATCGGTGTGTCTGACAAACAAATCAGGACCTTGGACTGCTACTGTCATGCAACAGTGGTACAAGGAAGGCCTCCTTCCTCTTGATCTTCCTGTCCGAAGAGAGGAGGACGCCGACTACGTTCTCTTGAAGGACCTCCGGCTGCAGTGCGTGGACCCAATACACCCCTTCAAATTACCATCTCCGCCGTCTACGACATCGATACCGACTCAGCTGATACCGCCAGTCGACTCTTCTAAGCCCTTACTGTCCCCAATATCCTTGCTAGCTCAGCCCAAGCACTTCGGGCCTCCCGCACTATTCTTCTCTTCGCGTGGCGGTCACAGCACAACCATTGTCGACGCAAGGGGTCGCTCTGTGCTTAAGGGAAGGTTCATGTGGAGCACAGATGATGACGAGGACAAGGGTTTTCTGTCGGGTTCTCCACGCCTCGGTGACGTGAAGCGACTCGAAGCATTCGACGTGAAGGATCGGGCGGTGCTTGTCGCTATGCGCCAAGGAGGTCTCGAGGCCGTCGACTTCGGCGACGCGCTGCTTCTTCCGGCAGATCACTCGCGCACCTTGTTCCCACACTTCCACCCCCCAACATCCAGCATCAATCGTCGCGGCTCGTTCGTATGGAAGATCGGAACCCCCACTTCATCCTCAACTGGATCGCCTCTTCCGGCGCTGACAGCGAAAATACCCCATCGCTTCCATCCTAAGAGGCAGAATGCTGCCCTCTCGAAGTCTCCGGGACGCACCGACTTCGCGGGGTCAACAGACGGTGACCCTGATCATCCACGAGACGAGGTCTTCTTCCTTGGACGGAAGGGCGATGATGTGTACTTCTGTGAGAGGAGATATGGCGCTTTCCGAGTTCTCAGGATTTCCCCGCTATCATCTGCCGCGTAAAATAGCTGGTGCTGATCACGTTCTCTTCTCTGTGTTTCCTGTTGGTGATAGCTGCTTTATTTTTCTTGCACGCAAGTTAGACATTTCCCGGACCCTCATTGCCACTGTCATCGTCGCATCCATGTTTATACCACGCAATACTTCTATCTATATATTATTCTACATAATTGTGCAATAAATTACACATTACTGTAAGATGAGGGAAGCCGACGTATCTGACCATACTCGAGCTCG